CCCTTCTTTTGGTAAATTTCTTTAACCTTCCCCCACATTCTGCTCAACCGTAGCCATGGCGGGTAAGCAGTGCGTGAGCGCGTGTGTACGTGCCCTGTGCCAAAATGTCTTTGCATGTGACTTTGCCAAATGACTGTTCTCACTTCTTGATTGCCGAAACCAATTAGAATCACGGCTTTTCACTGGTGATTGAAGCAATTAAATATTCTTTTTCCTAAGGTGTTTTCTGACCAATACACTAGATTGAATCCCTGTGATGCACCCTGTGAAATGTACCAAAACGGAATCACCGTGCGCTAAATCCTGCACTCCTCCCTTAGACAAAGTTTCGTCCAAGTATTTTCTAGTTCAGTGAGGGCAGCATCTCAGCTGCTTCCCGTGGCACATCTCTGTAGCTTGGAGCAGTTGCAAGAACTGGTGGTAGCCCATTCTGGTGGGCTCGAAATGCCGTGAGCCATCTCGGATTGACAGGGTGGACCAGTAGGAAATAGTAATTTTTTAACCTTTTGCGCCCACTGAATACTTGCTCGGGCGGCCCGTAGCAGCGAAGAGCTGCAGGGAACAGGGATGCAGTTCAGGAGCAGAGATACTGCGAGGACCTTCAAAGTCTGTTTCTTTTCTGACCCGAGATTATTTTGGTCTGTCTTGGATTAAACTCCAGACAGATCTGACGCAGTGGAAGTTTTGCACGAGTAAGGACTGTGGGATCTTTAATCTACTGTGTTTCTGATCTATTGAAAATAAACTGTATAAAAACATTTGGTGTTTCCCACCTGTACTGGTGACGCCGTTTTTGTTAATTTGCTGTGAATTTTCACAAACACCACCACGTACTGCAATATTCTCTCTTTATCAGTACGTTAACTCCATACTCTGACGTTGTTTTGGAGCACAAAGCAACGTTCTGGAATGAGGGACCTGATGATAGCTGTCACCTTGGCAGTGGAACTTGTCCGTAGTGAGCCACTTCCGATGTGTCAAGTACTCCGTGCTCCTCATTCCTCAGATTTTCATCTCTGTTGCGGGAGTTGCAGTGGAAGCTCTTCAGGGAAACCCTGGTAAAAATCCCCCGGTGTCATTTCACAGATCAGGTTCAGTCAGAAGAACTAAAGAAAACTTCCTTCAGCGAGTGTGCTCAGCCAGGACGGGGACCGGTGGCACTGCGCGGGTGCGGGGGGATGTTGCGAAGGAAGACGAGACCTTCCCTTCCCGGCGGAGGTTGGGAAGTTGCTGAGCCCCATCTGCTGGGGACGGGAGGTTGAACAACCCTTCTCTGCTTCTAGATCCAGCCGCAGGAAATCAGCCCTCCTCCCACGGCCAACCTGGACCGCTCGAACGACAAAGTCTACGAGAATGTAACGGGGCTGGTGAAAGCCGTCATAGAAATGTCCAGCAAAATACAACCAGCTCCACCAGAGGAGTACGTGCCCATGGTAAAGGTACGGAGACAACGCCTGAAATCACAGAATGGTTTGGGTTGGAAGGGACCTTAAAAATCATTTCGTTCCAACCCCCTGCCATGGGCAGGGACACCTCCCGCCAGATCAGGCAGCTCAGAGCCCCATCCAACCTGGCCTTGGGCACTTCCAGGGATGGGGCTTCCACAGCTTCTCTGGGCAACCTGTGCCAGTGCCTCACCACCCTCACAGGAAAGAATTTCTTCCTAATGCCTAATCTAAAGCTGCCCTCGTTCAGTTTGAGACTGTTACCTCTCACCACAGCGCTCCCTGATGAAAAGTCTCTCAGCCTTTTCTCTAGTTTAAGTTCTGGAAGGCCACTGTAACGTCTTCCCAGAGCCTTCTCCAGGCTGAACAGCCCCAGCTCTCTCAGCCTCCTCATGGGGGAGAACTGGTGGCGTATTTCTCTCCCGAGTGACGTCTGCAAGTGGTGTAGGAGAAATTTTCCAGGAAATTGCAAGTAGAAAAGCTTTTTGTGTTTGTGGGGCAGGTGACTTGTTTTCAGAGGGATGGATGTTGGATTCTGATAACAGCATCGTGGGCAACTGCTTTTATTCCCCTTCTGGCCTGTGCTTATCCAGGAGCAGTGAGTTGTGCACTGTCTCCTCTGCGTTTCACTTTTTAAGAAAAAAAAATTAATTAACCCTTTGGCATCTTGTTTTGATGATGAAACACAGAATTGCAGGTGGGATTCTGAAGTCTCTCAGCCATGTTCTAACTGCTTTTTGATCCAGACGAGGAGTTAAGTTTCTCTGTTGCTTCCTGCATTCCTACAATTCTCTCATCCATTCATCTCAAGTTTTTAAAGTGTGTTTCCTTAATTTTTTTTTCTCAGGAGGTCGGTTTGGCACTAAGAACCTTACTGGCAACGGTAGACGAGACCCTCCCAGTGCTTCCTGCAAGCACCCACAGAGAGGTACGTAGAGCTCTGCTGACCCAGTGCTCGGTCGTTACGTGTCGAGTCAGCCTCTCTCGGGACAGCTGAGTTTTGCTCTCTTCGCCGATGCATAAATTTAAGTTTGCTGACCACTCTGAGCTCTTGGCTTATAGTTCTGCATGAAATAATTTTTACTAGAGTTGGTGGGTAGACAAATGAGCTTGTATTGACTTATGTGAAGACACTCCAACGGGATGTAATTGAAGAGCACACAACACACACCCACGGGAAGCTGACATCAAGCCCGTGAGCAGCGCGTGCTCAGAACCAGTGCTCTAATGCCAGGAGACCACCTGCAGTTATTTCTTGGTGCCAGAGTCACCTTCGCTTAAGCTGCAGCTTGCACACAAAGTCATCTTAATGACTTTGTAACTGAGTGTCACTTGGTGCAGCTGGCAGGTTCTGAGGTGAGGATAGCCTGGAGTGACCTAGTTCTGGATTAGAAGTGCCTGAGATCTTTCAGCAAAATTCATGAGTCAGGAGTAAAACTGTTTTCCTCTAAAACCTTCGATGAGTGGGGTAACGAGAAAGCCAGAGAATGGTTCTGTAAAAGCCACCTAAGAGAATTGTCCCGACTTAGCTATGTTTTTCTTAAGTAACCTGTATCTGGCTCCTTGAGCTGTTTTTTTTCTAGAGCCACTTTTATGCTTCAGAGCTACTTTAATAATAGAAAGAGTGATGACAGTAAGAGCCTGGAAATTTATAGCGAGGTGTTAACTCCAAGACACGGGTTCAAATCCAAGTGCCACAGGTCTCGGTGCTGTTGAACAGGGGGCAGCTCAGCGGCTGACAAGGCTGCTCTCACTCTCCGCGTGGAGCAGCAGGTGCCAAAATTCCGGCCGCTTCACGCAGAGCCCACAGGAGCAGCCCCAGCTTCCACCAGAAACCTCGATCAGGGGCTGTTAGAGAATCATAGAACAGTTTTGGCTGGAAGAGACCTTCAAGATCATCAAGTCCAGCCTTTGTCCTGGCCCTGTCAATACCACTAAATCATGTCCCTCCGCACAGCATCTCCCTGTCTCTCAAACAGGGATGGCGACTCAGCCACCTCCCCGGGCAGCCCGTTCCAATGCCTGACAACCCTTTCAGTAAAGAAATTCTTCCTAAGATCCAACCTGAACCTCCCCTGGCGCAACTTAAGGCCATTTCCCCTCGTCCTATCACCTGAGGGAGCTCAGGCAGCAGTGTTGCTCCGTAGCGTCGTGAGCGCAGCACTTCCAGTGCCTCATGCGGTTGACCACATCTTCTCATTCCAGATCGAGATGGCGCAGAAGCTGCTGAACTCAGACTTGGCCGAGCTCATCAACAAGATGAAGCTGGCGCAGCAGTACGTCATGACCAGCCTGCAGCAGGAGTACAAAAAGCAGATGCTGACAGCCGCTCACGCGCTGGCTGTGGACGCCAAGAACTTGCTGGATGTTATCGATCAAGCCAGGCTGAAAATGATCAGTCAGTCCCGACCGCACTAAGTCCCGAGGGAAGAGTTTCATCAGTCGAAGAATTCCGCTTGCGAAAGGATGTTCCTTCACCTTCCACCAGCAGTGAGGATTCACCCAGCGTAGTCCTGGCTTCCCAGCGCCTCTTGCTTCAGCAGACCTGACTGACCGCTCTTGGTTCTCTCATTACAAAAGTTTAACCAAGTTTTTATCGTAAAGCCAAGCTCATCTGGGAATTCAAGAAGTGGTGTTATCACACGATGAAGTTTGTACAGGAGCCCTCGGGAGATCGTGGCCACGGAGTGCGCTTCAGTTTGATGCCGTCGCGCGGGGCACGCTCGGCCTAGAGCTGCCGTGGGGCAACGGTCTCGGAGCCAAAACTGTTGGGAGCAGCAAGACCGGAGGAGGATATTGTGAAGTGAAGAATTCGGGGAAACCTCAGGGCTGAGAATTCTTGCCCACAGTATATGAACTATCCAGACTGGAATTTTTTTTTATTAGAACACTTACGTCGCAATATGCTAATCACAATTTACAGAGAAAGAATAAAAAGCTATATTTTCAAGACTTCGGTCATTTCAAGACAAACTAAAGCCCTCTTCATCTTCCTTTTACTTTCCGTGAAGGTGTGAAGCATCTGTTTGGAACTAGCTGTAGAACACAACTGAAAACTCGTCTTTTTTTTCACCAGAATAACGTGCCAGTTCTTTTGTAGCAATGTTGTTCTCCTTGGAAGCAAAAATGCTGCTTTGTACCAGAGCAATTCGGAGCTGCATTTAGAGGAGTTCTGTAACCATCCATGTCCCCCGTTTTTATATAATTTATAAAGACAGATTAAAGCCATGTTGAATATTTTAAGCCCACTGTAGTTAACTAACCCATCCTTTTGTCTTATCTTGCCTGGGAGGAGTTACAGTAGAGCAGTGTAATTAGATTTTCCTTGGTTTTCCAGTTATGCCATCTGTTCTGTTAAAATAAAAACCACACTCCCTTTTTGCTGTTGAGGGATATAAATTATTCTCAGGAAGAATATAATGAACTGTACAGTTACTTTGACCTATTAAAAAGGTGTTACCAGTGAGATTCTCGCTGAATTATTTTGTGTGTGCGTGCACTGCAGAAATCACACTCGAGTTTCCTCTGCTTGGAATTTTCCTCCCCATCCTAATCCACAAGCTGGTAAATTCAGAGTAAATGTGTGGCTGCACCTTTTATAAACTAGATGAGCTCCAGTGTTGTGGGAAGCTGGGACAGCACTGAGTGCTCCACCACGGGGCTAGATTCCGTACAACCCTCCTACACAACTCTGGAGCCCCTTCTTGGAACACTTTATGTGTAATTTCCATTTAATACTTTGGAGCACACGTTTGGAACACACCTTGTTCCATTGCTCTGGGAAAGTCCTGTTCAAAAGTTATTTATTTTAGAAATAAAAGGCTTTTTAGATTTACTCTTATGTGAGGCTACCTGACACATGTAATCCCTGCCACGCTGTGTCTCCCTTCAGTATGAAGAACTCGTAAGAAAAGGTGCAGAACCCTAGAGTGACCTGCGACAAGTGCAGTTTTGGTACCTTCAGGTCACCCGGCCACCCCTCACCCGCTCCCCTGCACAGGCACCCACAAGTGACAGGAGTACAGTTAGATGTTCTTTATTACAGGCAGGTACAAAACTCATTAGTCAAAGAGACCAAAGCCCATGTCATCATCAGATTCCTCTGATTCTTCTTTCTTTTCCTCTTCTTTCTTCTCCTCGGCTGAAAAAGGAGACAGGTATCAGGACTGTTCCCTTGGGTCAGCTCTGCTCACACCCCACAACAGCCTCCCCATGTCGCGGCTGAGAAGCGAGGCCTGAGCACCCTCGGGAGCTCACAGCCCAGGGAGCCCAGTGCTTTCACTACAAGGAAAGTGCGCTTGTGCCCTCAAATTTAATTCCTATCAAATCTGAAAAAAAAGTAGCAAGCAGGTG